TTACATGAGAACCAAGTGTAATAAGGTGGTAGTAAGCTGACAACCTTACGTCACCCTCGACTTCTTGCATTCCTTCACACAAGCCACCCAACCTCTCCCACAAAGTTATATATATATAAAATATTATATTTAATATATATTACATATATGTAATATTATATATAATGTAATAAATATTATATACACATATAAAATGATTTGAGTTGTCTTATGAAGAATAAAAATGAATGGGTGGCCAACTTAAGTAGATACATAAAAGTTGGCCACCTAGTCTTTTTTATTCTTCATAAAAGCACTTGAATCATTACAAGATCTCCATTCACACTGTCACTGGCATATTAGGGTGCTTATTTTTCACCTAGATAATTGTAATTGTCTTCCTGTCTCCAAAACACAACCCTCAAATGTTCCCTGCACACTACAGTTAGAGTGAACTGGCTACAGGTGACCTCGCTTATGTTAAATAGACGTAAGCTTGAACTATAGTCCTGTTACTAACTAGGCAACTTACTAACCCTCAATTTCCACATCAGTAAAATGAGGATGATAATCATACTTAGCACATGAAGTATGATTGCAGTGAATAAAAATATATCAGAATCACAATAGGAAATCACACATTCAAATGAGTAATTGAGGGTCATTTAATAAAGGGACTGTTTACAAACTGGAAAGAGTATAGTCATAAGAGATGGTGAACTACCCCAATGTTGGCAAAATAAAAGTCATTACCACCTTAGGCCTAAAAAGGCAAAGAAGAGAATAGATACCCGAACCCAGAGAAAGTTTAAGTTATAGTTGTAGGAGAGGACACTGACAAATGCTTCAACAGAAGAAAGCAACTGTCCTTTGATGACCCAGCAGAGGTAAAGCTGAGGGATTAAATGATCTAAAATCCCTCCTCCTCTCCATCTAATCTACTTCTAGTAATTCCCATTGGTCAAACTAAAATAGAAGCAAGGCTGTCTATTGATGCGGCCACCGAGTTCAGTGTGTGGGGTTCAGAGCAGAGTGCAGAATGGTGGAGAGTGGAACTGGAAGGCAGACAACCGCTCCCTAGAACACAGTGCATGTAAGGCACTTAATACTACTTCTTCAGGATGCAAAAATTCTTGGCTCTTGCACCAATAACACAGATAAAAGGGATAAAATAAAAACCCTAGTTTTCTGTAGAGCTATTGAGCAGTGGACACAAAGAAGCCATGATGAATGAATTCACAAGAAGAATGAGCCCTTTATAGGTCAGCAGAGCTCAGTGGCAACTCATCCCTGGGACAAACACAGATGTGTCTGGCAGAGGACAGGGCCTGCCAGAGATGAAGAGGCTTCAGGGATGATGAGAAAACAACTGAGCCCTTAACTTCAGCTGAGCTGGTGGGACTAATCTGAGGAGTCTAGCTCCAGGCCACAGTTCTATGTGTGTTCATTCAAGTCTGACCACAGGCAATTACAAGGCTTTGCCTGGCAGGCCTCATAGGGGGAAGCTGCCCTTCCACACCAGTCTTGGTGCACAGCCAGTGCATTGCAGTCTCGGGGCGGGGGCGGTGTTGCAGGAAAGGACTCAGGCGCCCCTGGGCCAACCATGCTCATTTACCTCTCTGCATGTCTAGCCTAGGCGCCTCCATTTGAAGACCTCTTTATGGGGGTCCTCAGCTGAGGCACATTTTGAGCAACTCTGCCAAGACCTCCTCGCTAGGGGGCCTTGACTAAGACATGTTTCTCCACTCTGACTTAGTACTTTTCCACTCCTAGCCCTTACGCACTCTGTCTCCCCACAGCCTCCTGGATCCATATAATGACAGGATCCTTTTGTTCACAGCTTCTTGGCAGTGAGACAATCCCCTTGTCTACACTGCTTTACCTCACCCAGTGCTGTTCTATGGGGGGAAATGAAACATTGAGGAGCCAGCACCTATGCTGTCTCTGGCTTACTCCATCACAGAAAGTGCGTAAAAAGTTTATCACTACTTTCAGTTTGTCTTGTTGTCCTGAGTAACCACCTCAACACATGGGAGATCAACAAAATCAGAATTTGGAAGAGGTACAAACACGAAAATGAAAGTGAGAAAATTACAACAGATGCCTCAGAAATACGAAGGATTATAAGAGACTCTCATGAAAAATTTTATGCCAACAAGTAAGACAACCTAAAGGAAACAGATACATTCCTAGAAAAATACAACCTACCAAGATTGTAAATTTGGTAGATTGTAAATAATGACCAAGATTTGGCCAGGAAGAAATAGAAATCCTGAACAGACATATAACAAACAAAAGATTGAAGAGGGTAGTCAAAAACCTTTCAAAAAATAAAAGCCCAGGACCAGATAGCTTCACAGCTAAATTCTACCAAACATCCAAAGAATTAATACCAGTACTCCTAAAACTCTTCCAAACACATCTTATAAGGCCAGTATCGCCTTGATACAAAAGCCAAAGACATTTCAAGAAAAGAAAACAACAGGCTAATTTCTGTAATGAATATTGATGCAAAAATGCTCAATAAAATATTAGCAAACCTTTTCCAACAATACATCAAAAAGACTGTACATCATCATGACCAAGTGGGATGTATCCCTGGCATGCAAGCCTGTTTTAACAAATGGAAATCAATCAGTGTAATACATCACATTATCAGAATGTGAGATAAAAACCACGTGATCATCTTAATTGATGCAGAAAAGCATTTGATAGAGTCTGACATCTTTTCTTGATAAAAACTCTCAACAGTTTAGGTATAGAAGGAAAGCTCCTCAATGCAATAAAGGTCATCTATGAAAAACACACAGCTAACATTAATAATCAGTGGGGGAAAACTGAAAGCATTTCCAATAAGATCCAGTACAAAGCAAGGATGCTCACTCTTGCCAATTCTATTCAACATAGTTCTGGAAGTACTAGCAAGAACAATCAGAAAAGAAAAAGAAATAAAATGTATTTAAACTGAGAGAGAAGAAGTCAAATTACTTCTATTTGCAGATGAAATGTTTCTATATGTAAGTAACCTTAATGATTCTTGAACAATCTTAAAGATTCCACCAAATACTGTTTAAACTAATAATTGAATTCAGTAAAGTTGCAGGATACAAAATCAATGTAGAAAATCAGTAGCATTTTTAAATATAATTACCTAACTGAAAAATAAATTTAAAAAAACAAATGCCATTTGCAATTGCATCAAAAAATACTTTAGGAGATGAAAAATCTGAAAACTGTAAAAAATTGATGAAGGAAATTGAAGACTCAAATAAATGGAAAGATATCCTGTGTTCATAGAATAGAAAAACTAATACTGGGCCAGGTACAGTGGCTCATGCCTGTAATCCCAGCACTTTGGGAGGCCGAGGTGGGTGGATCACCAGGTCAGGATTTCAAGACCAGCCTGGCCATGATGGTGAAAACCCGTCTCTACTAAAAGTACAAAAGTCTAACATCTTTTCTAGGTGTGGTGACAGGTGCCTGTAATCCCAGCTACTTGGGAGGCTGAGGCCGGAGAATCACTTAAACCTGAGTGGCAGAGGTTGCAGTGTGCCGAGATCACAGCCTGGGCAACAGAGTGAGACTCTTTCTCCAAAAAAAAGAAAGAAAAATTAATACTGTTAAAATTTCCATACTATTCCAAGCAATATACAGATTAAACACAATTCCTATTAAAATCCTGATCACATTCTTCACGGGAATAGAAAAAACTAATCCTAAAATTAACATGGAAACATGAAAGACTCCAAATAGCTAAAATAATTCTGAAAAGAAAAAATAAATTTCGAGACATCACATTTCCTGATTTAAAACTATAATACAAAGCTATAGTAGTCATAACAGTATAGTACTGAGCTAAAAGCTGTCGCATAGACCAGTAGAACAGAGATCTCAGAAATAAATCCAACCATATATGGTAAACTAATTTTTGAAAAGGGCATCAAGAGGACACAACTGGGAAAGGATAGTCTCTTCAATAAATGGTACTGAGAAAATGGGATTTCCACATGCAGAAAAACAAACACTTCATCCACAAAAATCAACTTAAAATGGATAAAAGACTTAACTGTAAGACCGGAAACTATAAAGCCTCCAGAATAAAACATAGGGGAAAATCTCCTGGACATTGGCAATTCAAGACCAGATGTAAGACCAGAAACTATAAAACCTCCAGAATAAAACATAGGGGAAAATCTCCTGCACACTGGCAATTCAAGCAAGACCAAAGGTACACCAAAGTATTAGTATTATTGGGTAAATTTGTGAGTAATTCTTAGAATGATTTATACCTAAAGGTAAAAATCCAATCACATTTAAATCACCGAAAGTTGAATTTTGCCTCTCATCCCCTTTTCCCCCTCATAAGCTATAACACATTTGTATAAACCCACAAAAAGCCTACTTGTGGAGTCTAATCACTGACTATTATAGATTATTTAAAACTAACTGGAAATTAAGAAGTAGCACTTATAAAATGAATAGCATATTCAATGAGAATATATAATTATAGTTCTAAATTTGTAGTTATAATTCTCATTTTGAATTTTTTATTATGTGATTGGAGTTTTAAAAATCATTTTTGGCCTTCATTCTACTCTAATAGATAACTTCTAAATTTCTAGTTATACTTTAATCTAAAATTCTGTTGATTCTGGCTGGGCGTGGTGGCTCACACCCATAATCCCAGCACTGTGGGAGGTAGAGGTGGGCAGATCACTCGAGATCAGGAGTTTGAGACCAGGCTGGCCAAGATGGTGAAATCTGGTCTCTATTAAAAATGCAAAAATTAGCTGAGCGTGTTGGTGGGACCTGTAATTCCAGCTACTTGGGAAGCTGAGGTAGGAGAATTGCTTGAACCCGGGAGGCAGAGGTTGCAGTGAGTTGAGGTGGCACTACTGCACTCCAGTCTGGGCGACAGAGCAAGACTCCCTCTCAAAAACAAACAAACAAACAAACAAAAACTGTTGATTCTGTGGCTAGCAATAATACAATTCTATGATTAATAATATCAGTTGACTTACCTAATACATAGTTACCAAACCCAATGATGCTTAAGGTGAATGCAAAATATAATCCTTATAAGTCCAGCCCACTGTAAGCACAAAAGTTAATGATGGTAGCAGGATGAAAATGAGAAGTCCAGTTACCGAGAAGAAGAAGAGTCTGTAAATTTTTACTTGTCTCTAGAAAAAAGGAAGGGAAGGGAACGGGGAAGGGAATGAGGGAGGGAAGAAGGAGGGAAAGGAAAGAAAGAAGGGAGGGAAGGAGGGAAATAGATGTTAGTATCAATCTAACTAAACCAACATTTGCCCTTTACAGATCTGTTCCTGATCAAGAGCTTACTTGGTGTCTCCTACCATACTCTGACACGCAGACTTCCCTTGCATATGGGAATATTTCCTTGCTCTACCTGCTGAATTATCTTCCTTGTGAATATTGCTGACCCTTTATTTCACTTCTCCCTCTTCATGTATTTTGTTGCACTTTACATTTAAAACCTGCCCTTCCTTCCCATCCTCCATATGTCTCATGCTGTAGTGTTCTTTTGTTTTGTGACCTGCTCACTCTCACCTCAAGCTCTGGGTCCCACTGGCTGAGTCCAAAAGGGTAGGATGAACAATCGTCATCTGGAAGTTTTGGACATCAATTTATAAACTATATTTTGTTCAGAGACATTTCAAAACCTGAAATCATGAGATAAATATATTTTCCAATCTAAAAATTGAATATTCATTTATAATTCTATATCCTATTAACTGATGAAATGCTTTTCATGATGAAATTCAAATTCTTAACAATGCAACATACTATCTCTTCATTCATTCATTCATTTACCCAAAAAGCATTTATTGAGCTTTTCCTATTAGTTCCATGGGAGATACTCAAGATACAAAGAGAAAAACTAGTTTGTCTACAGAGAGATTACAGTTTTATTCGAGGAAAGGAGGAGAGAGAGAGACAGGTAAACCAATATTAGAAATCACATGTCTTTTAAGCTTTTGTTTGTAGAATATCTTGTATGGGACAGACACTATGCTAAGAGCATTATATACTTCCAAAATGTATTATGATAAAGGGACATCATGTAAATAGTTCCTTGAATTTTAGCGCTTATTGTAATTATAGTGGATTGTGGAATTTGAAGTACTTTCTAAATTTGGTAGGATATGGAGCTGATATTATGAAATTCTATGTGCTCTGTTGCTGCTCTAAAAGTTTGAAAACGGATACTCATGATCAACTTGAGAGACATTCCAATCAAGTATTTATTGGAATACCTGTAGCAGGAGACAGCAGAATTAGAAGAAGGTGGAAGAAATAGATAGCTAATTATTAGTATGTATTATGGACCTTTTAAGAAGCTTGGGAATAAGAGGCAATTGATATTGATGCTTTCATTTTCTGTGGGAGGATCAGAAAACCTCAGATTTTCAGAATGGTAAATAAACATTGGCTTCAACTTAAAGTCACCAGCTTCATTAGCTTCTAATAAGAGAGTTAGTCTTTCTTTTGAAGCTTTGAAGCCAGGCATTGACTTCTCCTTTCCTGCTATGAAAGTCCTAGATGACATCTTTCAATGTAAGATTGTTTCACCTGCAATTAAAATCTGTTGTTTTGTGTCACCACCTTCATCAATGATCTTAGCTTGATCTTCTGGATAACTTGCTGCAGCTTCTTGATCAGCACTTACTGCTTCACCTTGCACTTATGTTATAGAGACAGCTTCTTTCCTTAAATGTCATGAAGCATCCTCTGCTAGAATCAAACTTTCTCCTGCAGCTTCCTTACCTTTCTCAGCCTTCACAGAATTGAAAAGAGTTAGAGCCTTGCTCAGGCTTAAGGGAATGATGTGGCTGGTTGGATCTTCCATCCAGACCACTAAAATTTTCTCCATATCAGCAATAAGGCTGTTTCACTTTCTCATCATTTGTGTATTCAACGGAGTAGCACTTTTCATTTCCTTTAAGAACTTATCCTTTGCATTCATGACTTGGCTGTTTGGTGCAAGAGGCCTAGCTTTCAGCCTGTCTCAGCTTTCAACATGGCTTCCTCACTAAAATCCTTTCTAGCTTTTGACTTAAAGTGAGAGATGTGACACTCTTCCTTTGACTTGGATGCTTAGGGGTCTTTGTGAGGTTATTAATTGGCCTAATTTCAATATTGTTGTGTTTCAAGGAATAGAGAGGCCCGAGGAGAGGGTGAGAGATAGGGAAATGGATGGTCAGTAGAACAGTCAGAACACATACAGCACCATCAAGTAAGGTCATTGTCTTATTTGGTCATGGTTGGTGGCACCCCAAAACTGTTACAACAGTAACATCAAAGATCACTGATCACACATCACCATAATAGATATAACGATAATGAAAAAGTTTGAAATCTTGTGAGAATTAAAATATAACACAGAAACAGTAATTGAGTACACGCTGTTGGAAAAATGCTGCTAACAGACTTGCTCCGTGGGTTGCCACAAACCTTCAATGTATAAAAAACACAATTATCTGTGAAGTATAATAAAGCAACAACGCAGTAAAGTGAGGTATGCGTGTACTCTCCCTTGAGTTTTCTTTCTCTGGACTTTACTTCCTTAGATTGAGAAAGTAACAACAGCCAGAGTCTGCTTCGACTCAACATTGCTCTTTCCTGAGAAGGCCTGGGGCAGCTTGCTTAGACTAGGCCTGTCTAGTCTTTTAATATCACTCTTAAGCCAGCGAATATGAGCTCAGAGGGGAAGGAAAAGGAGTGTCCTGCCTCGGTTGGCCACTCACACTGGATTAATGTAAGCACAAGGGATTGTTGCCAAAGTGCAACCTGGTTCACAGGAATACACAGACACAAAGCCTCATGGTAACAAGCACAAACATTTTGCCTGGCCTTGTCTCCTCTGTGTATCTCCTTGTGGGATACCAGGAATATCAGGAGTGGACTATCTGTCCATGTCATTTCTCTTTATTTCACTTTGTCCCAAATAAACACATATTTTCCTATAAGGTCTCCAAACAGCCTCTACTAATCATATACTAAAGTATAAGAAATCATATATTAAGAAAGTGAAACAGTCTATAATCTATCACCTTAAATAATTTCTTGCCCTTAGCAGTGTTGACAGAGCATTGTGAGATAACAGAGCTCAGAGCCTAGGACCAGAAGAAGTGAATTCAAGTTGATAACTTTCTCCTAGAAAATCTAGATGTGAGATTTGCCCATACCTCATAGAATGGTTCAGAGAATCAATAAAATGGGTTTGAAACTGCATTTATACTGTAATATTCTATAAGTATTCTTTGAAATAATATTCTTATTTTCTGAAGAAGAAAAATAAAGCGCTATATATAATATTTTGGACTGAATACCCTTTTGTTGAGCTAGGAGTTCCAAAAATATAGGGCAAGCATTTTAACATAGTATTTTAACACATGCCATTTTAATATAGAATTGCTATTTGTCTGATGAAGTTCCAATGTTTTACATATAAGTCTGTGTCCTGGATACCAGAGAGGTACACATATAGTGGAGTAACAAACAGTACACCAAATATATGTTGAGAGGGCCACATATATACCTATATGTATATTTTTTTATTATGTATTTAGCAAGAATTTATTAGGTGTTGCATACATATTTTAAATATGGTTGTGAACCCAAGTATATATAAGAAAACAAAATTATTTAGTAAACATTAGCTCTTCCCTTCCCATATTCTGAAGGTATTTCCAAAGTCCTGAAAATGGCGCTGACACTGCCTTGCTCACAAAATTCAGGAATATGATAGTTTGAGGAATCCCCAATAAAGTATAGAAAATACAGAGTATCTGTCTAGTAGGAATTCTGGGAGCAATTGACCTGTAATCTGATGGACAGTAGGAGACAAATGCTCAATATGACTACTCTGGAACATGCACTTTTGGTGCATTGTTGTTGATGATATTTTGTTATGACAGCCCCAGCAGCATACACAGCATTTAAGATCATATGATCTTAAACATACGATTCAGCCACTTTACACCCAGGAATTTCTCCTAAGGAAATGACCAGAAAAGTGAGAAGGATAGAAGTATATCACTGAAGCATTATTTGTGAGTGAAAAATTGGAACTAATGTGTCTTAACAGTACAAGGAATCTACTGAGTAAAATGAAATGATAAAATGCTTTCCAATCTTTAAGAACTGTAGTGTGAAAGTATATTCAATGATATGGAAAATTAATAATCATACATTGCTGAATTTTAAAAAGGCTTTTTTTTGTGTGTTCAGCTATAACCATTCATAACACCTATTTATGGGAAAAAGAAAAATGAAAAAAATTGCTATTTAGTACATAGTCAAGCTTAAATAATCCTTTCTGTTACTGTTGGATGAGCCAATCCCGATTACTGCATCTAATTTTAATTTACACATATTGGTATTTGCTGCCTTAGGCACAGCACAAAATTTAACAAAGCCTTGTTTCTCTAAATTGTGAATTTGGGGTTACTTTTGTCTAAACATATTAACACACACATAATGATGACGTAAAAAAATCTATCCCTTCTGTGCTCATGGCCTTTAAGTTCAGGTTTTATTTTCAATGATATAAAAAGGAAAAAAGAATGCAACGTCACAAAACAGAAAAAGAAAAATGAACGCTATAACCAAAGTCTCACAATTGTTCATGAGGTTTGCACAAAAGTTCCCTTGGCTGCCTGTGGTCATATTTGAGACAGCCTGGCAACGTCAAAGCCATCTCAACAAATGAGAAGCTCATGGCATTTGAAGTCATGTCTAAACTCATCATTTAAATTCACAGTTTGCCTTAACTCCCATTTGGTTAAGAGAAAATAATTTGTTATAAGAATAAAAGAAAAATAGGCTTATTGACTGTTTTCGGGACTGCAAAATAAGGGCTATCTCCATTCCTCAGGATAGCTGGTATTTTAATTCTATTATGAGATAAAAATCGCAGAACATCAAAGAGAGTGGTCAAACGGTTTCACCTCCCTTAATTCTCTATTAAACAAGACCTTTGACAGCTGCCTGACTGCCTGAGGCTAGGTTCCTTCAACTGCCCTGGCTCACAGCTGGAGTGGCTCACTGGGACAGGGGAGGAGATGACAAAATGCATGCCCACCATTCAGCCAGGCCTCTGTGAGCACCAGCAGGCTCTGCACCGAGGGAGACAGGAGTCAGATCCATGTTCCTTTCCTCAGGGCAGAAACCACAGGTCGTGGAGATAGCCAGTCCCAAAACTCTGACCTTATGTGGGCCCCTGGAATCCAAGGTTCTCCCAGTTCTTTAACCGAAATGTTACAAGCAAATGAGAAAGCTTTCTAAACAAATAGGATCATTTTGTTGGGAAGTTTGTAGGCATCACATTCACCTCCATAAGCGAGAACATGCAGCCTATTTTAAGTAGGGAAAATAGATCTGAGCATGCCATACTTGGAAATAGCAGTTATTACTTATTAAACTCCTATGTTGCCAGGAGAAGGAAAATTCCATGGCAGTGCTGGAGGTCTCTGACAGTCTACACTGGTGTTTTCCAGGAACCTCCTGAGGGTCTTCCACAGCCACGACCTTAAATTATGCTGACTGTTTTTGTAAACCCTAATGGTTCTCAGTTGACAACAAAATATGCTAGAATTCTCTGAAGTTTAGTAGAAACCTATGGTAACTTTTTGTTTTTGAATCACAAAATTCTCTAGGTAAGTTCTAGCTGAATGCCAGAGAAACTTGTGGACATTACAGTTCTGTCAGGAGTCCTGGGGAGTCTGGCTAGTCTGGCTTTGCCACTTACCCCAGTATGTTGGGAAACTAGGTAGAAATACCACTGCCGAGACCACCTACTAAAGGGAAAAGGTACACAGAATTTGTTATGGAAGAGACAAATGATCAAAAATTCAAAATAAGAGAGAAGCTGCATATACTATTGAGATGCCATCTTAAAAATACAAGCAGGGTCTGGGTTTCCAGGATGAAGGAGTTACGGCTCATGTACATAAAGTTTCATATTACTTTAAAAAATTTAAATGATTAGCATCATTTAAAACATTTTTTAAAAAAACTAAACTAAAAATAAGACTTCTCTCCTGGCCCTCAAAAAATTGTTTAGAGATATGCCCTGCTCTGTGATTTTCCCTTCACCTATAACTCTCTTACTCCTTTGCATTCTCTTGCTGTTGTCTTTCTGTCTCCTGCTAGTATCGGGACTTATCTTTTATTTATTCTCATTGGATGAAAGAAAAACTGGTGCTATTATTTATATACATTTAGGAAAATACATAGGAGGCCAATCTATACAATCTTTTATCTATAGCACTCTTTCAACACAGACAGCAAATTTAAAACTCCAAAACAAAGCCCCTTCATCTCTTACCTGTAAAGATTTCAACTTCTGTAGTTATGTCGGCATAGTTTGCCATTAAAGCTGCTTTGGCTTCTCAAATGGAATTTTTCAGCACTTCATGAATGTCTGTCTCCAAAATTTGAAATATTTTTGCCCCCATCAAGTAATAGCTCACAAAAGCCATCATCAGGATGCATTCAGAGGCTTAAACAAGTAATTCTATTAGAAAATGAAATAGCGATGGAATGAGAGGCACAGGAAGCTAAATTGCTTTAATTTAAAATGTCTCCACCCCCAAAACAAACCAAACAGTAAACAACAAAAATAGTCTTCTGCCCATCAAGAAAACAGCAGTCTTGTGATTCAACAAATACATACCAAAAAAAAATCCCAAAATATTCATGACGAAATAAAATTTGAACTTCAATTGTATTCTGACATGAAATAGCCTAGAATGTGAAAATGCAGGGGGGAGAATCGGTTTCTGGGGAATGTTGTTAACAGTTAACTTATGAGTAGAGGAGGAATGTGGTCAAGTACCACTGTTTATACTGGCCTTTTAGAAGCAAGTGAGTCCAAGACAGCTCATTCCTGGGGAAATGTTTACGGTAGATATAAAATGTGTATTATTAATCAGTTTGCCCAATCAAGATGGATTTGGAGAGATTATCTATCCTGAAGTCTCTTTTTCCAGTTCTCACTTCCCATTCCTCTCTGTGCTGCTCAGCATGAGCAAATAAAAACTTTTTACTTGGTAAAAAGGTAACCATTATCTTGATGAGACCTGGCTGGAATATTAAGACAAAGAAGCCAAATAACTGTCTTGATTTTCAAGGCTACAGTAACCAAAACAACATGGTACTGGTACAAAAACAGGCACATAGACCAATGTAACAGAATGGAGAACTCAGAAATAAAACCGCACATCTCCAACCATGTGATCTTTGACAAACCTTACAAAAACACTAGGGAAAGGATACCCTATTTAATAAATGGTGCTGGGAGAACTGGCTAGCCATATGTAGAAAATTGAAACTGAACCCCTTCCTTACACCATATACAAAAATTTACTCAAGATAGATTAAAGACTTAAATATAAAACCCCAAAATATAAAAACCCTAGAAGAAAATCTAGGTAATACCATTCAGGACATAGGTATGGGCAATGATTTTATTATGAAATCACCAAAAACAATTGCAACAAGAGCAAAAATTGACAAATGGGATCTAATTAAACTAAAGAGCTTCTACACAGCAAAAGAAACTATCCTCAGAGTGAACAATCTACAGAATGGGAAAAAAAATTTTGCAATCCATCTGACAAAGGTCTAGTATCCAGAATCTACAAGGAGCTTAAGCAAATTTACAAGAAATAAACAACCCCATTAAAAAGTGGGCAGAGGACATGAACAGACACTTCTCAAAAGAAGACATTTATGTGGCCAACAAACATACATACACAAAAAGCTCAACATCACATGAGATACCATCTCATGTCAGTCAGAATGGCAGTTATTAAAAAGTAAAGAAACAACAGATTTTGGTAAGGTTGTGGAGAAATAGGAACACTTTTACACTGTTGGTGTGGGTGTAAATTAGTTCATCCATTGTAGAAGACACTGTGGTAATGCCTCAAAGATTTAGAACTGGGAATACCATTTGACCCAGCAATCCCATCACGGGGTATATACCCAAAGGAATAGAAATAATTCTATTATAAAGATACATGCACGCATATGTTCACTGCAGCTCTATTCACAATAGCAAAGACATGGAATCAACTCAAATGCCCATCAATGATAGACTGGATAAAGAAAATGTGGTATATATACACCATGGAATACTATGCAGCCATAAAACGGAATGAGAGCATGTCCTTTGCAAAGACATGGATGAAGCTGGAAGCCATTATTCTCAAACTAACGCAGGAACAGAAAACCAAACACCACATGTTCTCTCTCACTTATAAGTGGCAGCTGAACAATGAGAACACATGGACACAGGAGGGGAACAACACAGATGGGGCCTCTCAGGGGAGGGTGGGGTGAGGGGAGAGCATCGAGCATCAGGAAAAAAGCTTAGTACCTAGGTGACGGGTTGATAGGTGCAGCAAACCACCATGGCACACATTTACCTATGTAACAAACCTGCATATCCTGCACCTGTACCCTGGACCTTAAAATAAAAATTGTCTTTTTTTCCCAGACAAATTCTATGGAGATATCCTTGATTTTTATATAGGTGTCCCGTCGGATCAAACCTACCTGCCTGCCAACCTCTTCCATCAGAAACGGAATTAGCTCTCAAGAGTACAAGCCGTCAGCACTATGGGAAAATTTTATTGTTGTGTGACTTATGACTAAAAATAATTCTTACACTTTGGAAATGCCAAAATAATCACAATTCGAAACTCTTCCTCAAATAGGTATATATATATAAGTCAATATGCCAATTAAAGCAAATACTTTAAAATACACCAATATATAGATGGATTACATACATAAATTTCTATGTGTGTTTTCTTCAAAGACAAAATAAATTTAATCTCCCTATACATAGATAATTCAACTTCTTAAAACAATAAAAGTGAGCATCTTAATTTTCTTCCAGATTTGTAGAATAATTATATTATTTGCTAGTCTATGCTTAAACTAAAGAATAATATTAGTTTCCAAAAGCAAAGGGACCTAAGTTAAGTATTAATAGAACATGAGATTCATTTTTATTTTTATTGTACTCTATGGCTAAGGAAAATGATTTTAAAAAGTCTAAGATTCACCAAAAGCATATGAAAAAATAAAATGTATCCAGTGATTTGTCAAGAAGCATTTCTTTATATTATTAGGAGTGAAAATAGCCCCAGAAAAGTCCTCACCCAAGAATAGACCAGAGCTTATTGAGGTAGGCTTTCACCCAGATAGAAGGACATCTTAAAGCAGTCCCACCTCTAACTGGAAATCTTCCTGTATCTTCCTTCTCCTCCATGGTACATTTAGGCAATAGCCTATCAGCATCTGAGTGGTGATGTAGAACCCTTCTAAGTGATCTCATCATGTCAACATCACAGTTCTTTCTGGAACCTTGAGAGTGGCTAGTTCTACAGACAGACCTCTTTTAATAGTTTCAATATATTAGTTTCTTATTCGTGCTGTAAAAAATTATCACAACCTTAGTGTCTTGCAACAATACAAATTTATAATTACAGTTCTGGAAGTCATAAATTCAAAATGGTCTCAGTGATCCAAAGTCAAGGTGTCAGAAAGTATGTTCTTTCAGGAGCCTCTGGGAAATATTTCCCTGCCTTTCATAGTTTATAGAAGCCATCTATATTCCTTGGCCCATGCCTCTTCCTCTATCTACAGAGTTGGCAAAGTTGGTAGGGTAGCATCTTCAAATCTTCAAAAAAGCTGACTCCCCTGCTTCCCCCTTTCACTTATAAGGACCCTTGTGCATACACTGCATCCACCCTGCTAATACAGAGTGACCTCCCCATCTCAAGTCAGCTGATCTTATTTGTCCCTTCCCAAGTGACACAGCAAATCCACAGGTTCCTGGGATTAGACATAAACATCTTTGGCTGGGTGCAGTGGCTTACCCCTGTAATGCCAGCACTTTTGGAGGCCAAGGCGGGCAGATCACCTGAGGTCAGGAGTTCAAGTCCAGCCTGGCCAAGGTACTGTCTCTACTAAAAATACAAAAATTAGCCAGGCATGGTGGCACGCACCTGTAATCCCAGCTACTTGGGAGGCTGAGGCAGGACAATCGCTTGAACCCAGGAGGCGGAGGTTGCAGTGAGCCAAGATCATGCCACTGCACTCCAGCCTGGGTGCTACAGCGAGACTCCATCTCAAAAATGGAAAAAAGAAAAGCAAAGGAAGGGAAGGGGAGGGGAGGGGTTAAGGGAGGGGAAGGAAGGAGAGGGGAGGGGAGGGGAATCAGTGTGGGGGTGGGAAGTGTATTATTTTGCCTGCCAATATTTCTCCAGTAGTCAATACCCCATAACTTCATCCCTATGATTTAAAATCTCTGGTTATGTGATCTTAAGCAAACCACTTTAATTTTTCCCTGCTCCCATTGTCATCTGTAGTGGTGATGGTTTGAATCACAGCTCTGCCACTTACTCGTAACCTTGCAAGTTTTTAATTTCTATAAGCTTTAGTTTCCTTTACAGAGAGAATAAAAAGGATAGTAATAACTAATTCATAGGTTGTGAAGATTAAACAAAACAATATAATTAGAAATCTTGGCTCAAATTAGGGGCTTAATAAATGTAACCGTAAAACATAAATTATTAGTATAGGGTCTGTTATATAGTAGGTGGCCACTAAATTCAAACAAGAACTATTAATGAGAAGTAACTAGTCTTAATCATATCAATCATTATTTTTAACACAGGTCTTGCATCTTATTTATCTTGTTATTTCCCACAATAATTTTATAGTGATACATGGTGATCATATATCACTATTTATATTATATATAGGTAGGGAATATATGTCTGCTGTATATGTAAGAATTTATTTGGTTGAAAGTGATATAAACCCATCTTAAATTTTCTTAAACAAAAACAGACAATTTACCAGCCAACACATTTTTCAAATCCAGGCATGGATGACCATTGAAGCAGATGCTGTTGGTACTTGCCCAAAAAACTACCTCTCTGTCTGAGAGCTTTTTTCTGGCTTTGGGGACAGGCCCAGGCACAAAGAAGGGCAGGGCAGAAGTGTCAAAGAGTTAATGCCCCTGAAAGCAGCCATAAATCAAAGACATGGGGAGTTGACGAATAACTTCTCTAGGCTCCTCACCTCTCAGAGGGAATGACTCTGAAACCTGTCCTACACTGTCCCACCAAGTTTCTTTGGTGGGATTGAGCCCCAGTTGCCCACAGTATCAACATGCTTGAAAGTACATTTTTATTGTCTTCCTTTACTTCTCAATCTCCTCTCCCCACTCTCTTGCCAGTATTTCCTGGGTTCACCTCCAAAATACATTGCTGGCACTCAACTTTATCACACTGCCCCAACACTTAGGCAGCACCCACCTCCCAGATATTGCTCTTACATGATGTCAAAACAAGGTCTTAATAAGGCATTCTACCTTAGTCTTAGGGGAGGCAAATAATTGATTTAATTGTGGTGTCCTTCTTGGACATTAGGAATCTTGGAAGAGTCAAGTGAAGAATGCTGGAAAGGTGAGAGTGGAGATTTTTCCCTGGAGCTGGGGCAGGGATAATCTTCCAAGGAACATTTGGAATTCTGCAGCAAGGGCCATCACATACAGCCTGGGGAGGTTGTCCACAACCTGACTCCAGAGCCTGCCATTTACAGACACTCTGGGATGAAGGGTAACCCCTGGAGTTGTGCTGTGCCACATCTGCATCTGTATATGGAGGCTGTCTCTGTAGCTAGCGCTCAAATCCTGATATAAAAATGAGTATTAAAGAAGGGAGCTCACCAGGAGCATTGTTAATAATAACAAGAAATTAGAATGACTTACATGTTCATCAGTAAGGTATTGGTTAATAAATGGAATCGCTAGCAAACTTTTTAGAAATTTTATTTTTAATTTTTGTAGGTACATAGTAGGTATATATATTTATGAGGTACATGAGATGTTTTGATACAAGCATGCAATGTGAAATAATCACATCATGGAGAATGGGTGTCTATCACCTCAAGCATTTATCCTTTGTGTTACATATAATCCAATTACACTCTTATTTTAAAATGTGCAATTAATTTATCATTGACTGTAGTCACCGTGTTGTGCTATCAAATAGTAGGTCTTATTCATTCTATTTTATTTTTGTACCCATGAGTCATCTCCAGCCTCCAACTACCCTTCCAAGCCTCTGGAAACCATCTTTCTACTCTCTATGTCAATGAGTTCAATTGTTTTGATTTTTAGATCTCACAAATATCTAGCTAACTTTGTAAAATGTGGTAAATCTATGTGTGACTTGGAAAGAGATATGGCTATGTAAAACAGAAAAAGAAGGGTATAAAATTGTGCTGATTTTGTTTACATTTGTGTTTAAATGGATCAGCAAGTATGTTTTGGTACTGACTCAAAGTGATTGCATCTAAAATTATGATAACAAGACAGGATTCTCACTGCTGTATCTCCCGATGCCAATCACCAAGGTAAGAGGCCCTTTAAAACCTTAATGTAGGCTTCCAGTAGGCTGCCTGTCATTTGTATAACTCAGTTGTGGAATCATGCCACCCTGTTTTTGCAACCAGATATGCTAGACACAGTTTTAGATAAGCAAAGATCAATATGCTAGCTAAGATTAAATATAAATGCAAAATGTTGAATGTGTCTTACCAGATGAAATGAGATATAGCTTCTTCTGTTTTGTGAAGTTGGCTAGGAATTAGGATCACATTTACACAATAACTGATGCAAAATTTCCAAATTCTCCAGAGCTGTGTACCTGTCTGCCAGCCCTGGCTTACCATCTTATGTGGACTTAGAGGCTAGAAATGATTACTCAGTTAGGGGCTTGTTCTATACACAGTGGAATCCTTGACACAAGGACTCATTTTGATTATCTTCTTTCTATGTTTGAATTGGTGACCCCCTCCCCAGTTTGTACTCCATCTGTGGCCAAGCAAGTCTCAAGTCTAGTTTGAATCATCTGTCAGACTGTGTCTTTTCATTGCTTTGTGAATGGAGAGGTCAAGGATTCAAGAAAGTACCCATCCACACTTCAGCATATTTGCTGTTTCTGTAAGGATTATGGATCCTCCAAAATAAAAATTGGTGAACCAATCATTATTTTGTTTGTTCATTTTTAGGAGTGAATTTGACATGCAAGGGAGAAGGTTAATCAAAATTCAATAGATTTCTTATTTTAACTGTATGATAAAACAACAAAACCCTCAAGAAAAATCTAGCTGAGAAGTTGTAGGGGCTCTCACCTGAATCTAAAAGATTTGCCAAAGTTCTTAATCAAACATGTGAAGCTGATCCAACCAAATGCTAAACAGCTGCTTTTATACATACAATTGGAACAATGTCAGTTTGTTCAAGATACAACAGAAGAGGTTGATACTTAGATTTCAAAATTAAAAAGTGAAAATGTGAATTTCAAAATTGAAAAGTGAAAAATGATATAGGATACATATAACTAATGAAGACATGAAAAGTTCCATGTCTTCATTAGTTGTATGTATCCTATATCATATTTAACAGTTTATACTTAACATGTATGTTAATGCTGTTTGTTTGAAAAAAAATAAGCTTTTGAGTTTTCTAAAAAAACTCTAAACTTAGAACTCTAAATTTGTAGATTTAATATAAACCATTTGGGCTTTTAAATGGCATTTGAAGGCCTCCATGCTTTAAAAACTGTTTGGAAAAGATACCTTCCAAGCAATCAATTAAATACTTGAGAATATAAAGCTTCCATTTATAAAAGGAGTAAAAACAAACATTTTTTTCAAACTTCTGTTTGAAAGAATATGTATAAATGTTTTCTATGAAAAACTTTTTAAAATGTAACATTTTTCAGTTTATAAATAAGTTCCTAATTGATTAAGACATTACTATAAATTAAACTCTTTTAATTTTTTTTAAATTTGTTATACCAACAAAGCAAAGGCAAATATAAATTAAACTTTTAAAATAAGACTTTTAGTTTTAGATACTTTTGTTTCTCAGTATAAATTTATACCAAAAAATTTAATTCCCATGTATTTGGGAATGATAGCATGCCAAAGTGCTTTAAGGTATCTTACCTATATAAACTGGAATACAGGTTAAGCTGCATGTAACAGGAGTCCAAAAGAACAGTGTTTTGAATTAGTCAGAAATTGTTTCTCTCTCTGCACCAGTCTGGGAGTAAATAGTGCAATACTAGTTTAGGATATTTACTCCATGAGGTCATTCAGGGACCCAGGCTCCTTCTCTTATTGTTGCACCATCTCTAGTATGCTCCACTGATTCTCATGGTCCATGGTAGCTCACCACCTCATCCACAGTTAAAACAAGATAGAAAAAAAGGCAGAGTAGGGCACACCTCTTTCACTTTAA